CGTGTGGAGGAGTGTTTTTTAAACTAATGAAACATTCGTTCTGAGGTTTTTGTAACGGCTTTTTCATGTTAATGTTAAAAGCTGACCTCTTACGAGGCACACGTGCAGTCAGACGTAGTTCTAGCTGCGATATGAAGTGGCATGTAGAGACAGAGAGGTTGATCATGGGTCCTGATCCTCTAAACCCTGAAAGTAAATTGTTTAGGGCATAGTTAGACAAGCAGTGCTTTTGGTGGCAGTGTTGACCAACAGGCCCGTCTGTTCCTTGCGCCGTGTTTTCACACTCTGTGCTGCCCCCCTCAGCTCTACCAATACAACTGTGGGTGGAACTGTGCCCTTCACTCGGTTGGGGAAATGATCCAGGTTAAAATTAACTACTATATTCCCCCTTTTTTTTTTTTTTGATGTGGTTATATTTAGCCTACGTCATTTCTCTGGGTGGCAGGTGTGCCAGAAAGCAAGAGAATTGTTTAGGTAGATATTTTAGTGAAAGAAATGCTGGCGAAATACACCTCGACTCCAGTAGTCCTGGCAAAGTTTTGAGTAGTTTGTGTTGTATTCAGGTTGACTTCTTTGAAGAATAAAAATGGCTTTTGTTTCTGATTATCTGTGGGATTTGGGCTTGTTATTTAAAACTAGACAGTATTTGATTGTTGTAATAGAGGGTTTCTACTTGACAGAGTAAGTGATTTTGCAAAATTGAATTTAAATAAATTGCCATTTTTTATGTGCATCTGTTCAAGAAACTTTGCCATAAGATTACAGACATGTTAAGGAATTTCTTCCAGATATATCAAGTATTAAATCTTGGGGTTAGAGTGCTGTGGTTTGTTTTTTTGCATGCTAGTGTTTTTAAGGTATGAGAACTTCATTGATAAGGTGAGGGTTACTTCCTCTTCAGAAATAGTTCAGAGAGGAAAAAAGTAACTCCCAAACTGATTTTTAATAATTTAAAATATCATTCAGCAGCATCATATTTTTATTTCTGCTGCTTCGTATTCTTACGTAGAGAAGTCTATCTGCTTTCCTTATGTCTTTTTATTTTACATATATTTGTTAATGTTTTCTTTCTTAATGCTCTAAGAACCATATAAACTCCCTCTTGTGGCTAATTTTACACTTTCTATACTTAATTGAAAAAGTATCTGAGTTGCAGTTACTTCAAATTTTATTTGCAGGGTTGGTTAATTATCTTGGTAATGTAGAGTTTCACGGAAGTCATGAATCTTCATAGATGAATTGATCTTGCTGAGGAAATAGTTGCTTTTCAGAGCTTTGAGATTTTGCTTTTTTTTGACCCTATTCAAAAGTTGGACAAAAGGCTGAAGTTACAAATTAGTGGTAGGGATAACATGTCTTCCTCCCCCCACTGCACCCTAGATATTCTTTATATGAAATGTCTATATGAACTTCCAGAATTGTTTCTTTTTCTCACTAAATATGAAAGACATGAATTCAAGATAGTTCTGATTCAAAAATGCAGGTTTTTTCATCCTTTGAAAACTGCTGCTTGTGAGCTGTGCTCCCTTTAAGGAAGGGATGTGCAATCTGCTGTCTGTCTATTCTGAAGCTGTGAAGCTTAACTTTGTAGGCTGGAGAATATGGATAGTACTCCTCTTAGAATAGAAAATTAGTGTCATAATACAGTGCGTGATAAAAAGCTAATACATGATATTGACAGGATGAAGTAAAATTATAGCAAAGGTGTGTCGTCTTTCTTATCACATGGTAATGAATTAGTTTTTCTTGAGTAAAAGACTTTGGTGGACATTTGAAAAGGTTTGGAGTAGAGAAAAGTACATGTTAGCATTTCAGCCTTTTTAGTAATAGAAATAGTTTAGTGATAGTTTCCATATGAACACTAAAATTCAGATGGATGGGTAGCAAAGATGGTGTTTGTAGTTGCTGCTATCCTTACCTTCTATTTACTTATTTTGCAAAGTATTTTTTAACCTGCATATGTTAATTGAGCTGGTTCACCCTGTTGAAAGCTGCGATGTTACTGCTGGGGGGATGGCATAAAGGGCAGGAGTGAATGGCGCTGTACTGCGAGAGTACTAGCTGCTTTAAGGTAGCTTCATCTTTGGAAGGACAAAAGAACCTATGGGACTATTGCCAAACAGTGGCCAAACCATTCAGCTTTCTCTAATGTTCTGCTGATACTGTTGTTATTGCTTTGAATTTAATAGTGCTTCAAAATAGAAAGAGGTGTAGGAAATGCCCCTTTGGTCCCATATCAGAGCCTGGAATGAAAGACTGCACTGTCTCCGTGCAACCCTGACACCAGCAAATGTGGATATCCATTGGGGAATTTACCTCATTTGCTTCTGGGGTTGGTCTGCATGGGGTAAACAACTTAATATTGCAGTTTGTTATTTTGTTAGCTCAGTTAATGGGGTTGTGTAGTAATTTGAAATAGTTGTTTGTTGGACATTTCCCAGTTCATTTGTTACAGGAGTTAAAGATGTGAAATGCCAAAAACATGGGAGAGGAAGGAGACTCATGATTAATGCGTCTGAAAGCTGCCCTGAAGGACTGAATTCTCAACCCCTACTTCTGCCACAAAATTCCTTTGTGATGCAAAAGCTACTTTAGTTTTGGCATACCTCATGCATGAGTGTTTAATTTTATAGCCTTAATATTCTCTTACTGTACTTCTTGTGTATTATATTAGTTCTTAATTATAGTTGCTTTTAGAATATGTAATCAGATATGTAAAAGTGTCTGTGGTCTGCAGTTCCCATATATTTCATGTTATGTAGAAGCAACAAGGTTTCATTGGTTCTTGGAATCTTTGAGCAGTTTAGCGTTGCACCCTTTGGACTCTTTCCAGCTGTTACATTTTGTTATGAAAATCACTGAATCAGTTTTCTTATTCTGTTCTGAGGAACATTGCTGAGTTAAATCACCTTTAGCAATATTAATATTTCATTAAATATAGATTTTTAAAGAAGAAGAGGAATGGAAATGATTCTTTGAGAATCGTGACTGATAAAGACTGATATTTGGATAGCAGAGCTTATGGGTTAGTATATACTGTGGACGTTTCTCATGCTCATGATGAAAGTGTGGCTACTTAAGTGCCTTGAATGAGCTTATAACTATGGGTTTAAGAAAGTCTTTGCGTATAGGAGGATGCTTCAGTTTTGAAGCTAATATTGTAACACTGTTTTACTTCTTACGACAGCCTAGCATCACGGGTCAAATGAGATCAGAATAATATGCCAATGTTGCAACAGAATAAAGCAGTTCCTAGAGCAAGACAGATATATTTATTTTAAAATCCACTTTAAATGGATCTATGTGGCTTTGTTCTTCCGTATAGATCCTTTTAGAATTCCATTGAAAAAGATATTTGCAGTTATCTCTGAGAAGGTTTTTGATGTATATTATTTCAGTATACGACCAAATCTGTAAAAGAATGTAAAGGGGTCCAAACTGAGATTTAGATGGATTTTGGATATCTAGTCTAAAATAAAACTTAAGCCGCGTATTAGCTAAATTTTATAGCTCCTAGTTTTTCATTAGTAAAGTTTTCCAAACACCTTAAAGTTTTGTTCTTATTCAGAACTGCCATAGTTTTGTCAAAACCAAGCATCTAGCAT